TTGAAGTTCCTTCCTCCCCACCCCAAACAATCTGACAGTAATTCTTCCAAATATGCCAAGAGATTATTCCAGCCATATTATGTTTAAAAGCATCAATAAGACTTCTATTCCCAGCTTCCAGCCACCATGCAATAAGCATCTCATTGAGATTGGAATAGTAGGAATGGAGATTTCAAAAATTCCAAGAAAATATGCCCATATTTTCCAACTAAAAGAACAGTTAAGCAAGACATGATCCATGAAAGCCGAATTCTGCTTACAAAAAGGACACATGGAAGGAAAGATAGCAATGTTGAACCTACTCAGGTTATCTGGAAATGGAAGAATTCTATTAAGAACCTTCCATTGAAAAATTTGTATTTGACTTTGCTGATATTTATTCCAGGTATGCTTGAAGGAGAAGGAAGAGTTCTTGGTTCTTCTCACACTCTGAAAAGCTGAGGATAAGGTAAATCTGCCATCACTTTCTGGTAACCACACTAACTCCCCATCCTGATTGCAAGTACTAAGAAGCTGACCCAACTCATTTATTCTACAAATTCTTTTCCAAACCCCTGAGTCTGCTTGTTTAGGAATCATATTTGAGCCTCTAGAGTATCTAACATTACAAAAGGTAGCCCAACATTCAACATTGATGAAAAGTGATTCTTTTTATCTAAAGAAATCACAACATAATACACTCATCCAGATGAGGTAGACCCCTACAAAGCTGCTCAATCCGAAAAAATTATACCCAAAATAATGTTTTTAGCAATTGTAGGTTGGCCTAGGTTTGGGGAGGACGGGGCAGTGCTATGGGATGGAAAGCTCGGTATCTTTCCATTCACTTATGAGGAAAAGGCAAAGAAATCTAGTAAGAACAGACCAGCAGGCACAATGGAGACCAAACCCACATTAAGTGTGACTAGAAATGTGATTAAGGACATGATGCTACACAAAGTATTACCAGCAATCAAACAAAAATGGCCAGATGCACAAAACAGGAACATCATCATTCAACAAGACAATGCAAACTATATTGAAGTAAATGATGCGGATTTTGTGGAGTGTGCAACTGAAGATGGGTGGAACATAAAGCTAAGTTTTCACCAACCAAACAGCCCAGACCTTAATGTGTTAGACTTGGTTTTTTTGTGCAATTGACTCACTGAAGGAACAGAAAGCCCCTAAAAAAATTGTTCAATTAACTGAAGTTGTGATAACTGCTTATGATGAGTTAACAGTTTACAGTTTAAACAAAGTTTTCTTAAGTTTTCAGTGTGTCATGGGGCAAATTTTGATGCACAAAGGTGAAAATAACTTTAAGCTCAAACATATTGGGAAAGACAAGCTTGACAGACAGGGGATGCTACCACTCAATATGGAAATCAATCCTGAGTTGGTGGAGGAAGCAAAAACATCACTTCTACAAATGCAATCAGGGGCTGAAACTGAACCACTTGCCACTGAGTTCATAAGTGAAGCTCAAGGTGATCTTCAATAATGAACTTAGATCACAAAGTGAGGTTTTTGTATGTACTCACTGAAGGACAACTTTTTTGTTAGTACTGCCTTACATACATGCCTAGCCTACAATTTTACAATGTAGTGGCATGGTAGTAGTTTTTGGTAAATCTTTTGTAAACTTAAAGGAAAACATGTTTGATTTAAAGTCTAATGTAATATTCAACCCACACATAATGACATACATTGGCTATCACAGTAGTATGCAAACACCTTTGGCATAGCCTCCTACACTAAATGATAATGGGTGGCACATGTTTAAAGGTAGCAAAGCACCCTAGGTTTTAAGACAATGACCATCATCATGATTACAATGAATCAAATAAGCACACAAGCCTCATCATCATTAGTAAGCAGATAAGCACATCAAAGCCCAAGCTAAGCACAAGCTCAAAGGCATCAACATTTGTGAATTTTACAGAACAGATTACCAGATAAGCACATCAAAGCCCATCATCATTCTAAATCAACAAAATCATAAGCTGAGGAATCCAAGGGTCCATTTCAAATTTCAGAAAATAACATAGCCTCCTACCTTTAATCAAAGTGGGAAGCACATGTAAAAAGGCATCAACATTTGCATATTTTTCATTACAGATAATCAGATAAGCACATCAAAGCTTTTCATCATTATAAATCAACAAAATCATAAGCTGAGGAATCCAAGGGTCCATTTCAAATTTTAGAAAATAACATAGCCTCCTACACTTAATCAAAGTGGGAAGCACATGTAAAAAGGCATCAACATTTGCATATTTTACAGAACAGATTACAAGATAAGCACATCAAAGCCCATCATCATTCTAAATCAACAAAATCATAAGGTGAGCAATAGATACCTTCCCTATGGAGTGTCCCGGAATATGTCAGCGTACAAATCTGGGAATAGATAATCAAAGGAGTTCACCTCCTCGCCTTCTTCCACCGATTCAGGAGACTCATCGAAGTGGGAGCCATACCTCTTTCTTCATTTCCAACCCGGATCCGTTTCCGATGATGTCTACCCGCATGCATTCTCAGATTCATCGAAGTGGGAGGCAAACTTGTTTTTCGCTTCCAACCCAGATCCGTTTCCGATTCATTCCACCCGCATGCACCCTTAGACTCATCTTCATCGGCAGTGGCTAGGAGGGGAGATTGTTCGGAAACTTTGACCACAACTTGGTGGAAATCCGACGGGCTAGGGTTGGGACAGATGTGGGTGTGCATCGGAAATGGGATGGGGATGCATGTTGGAATTAAAAGATGACACGGAGGAAATGAGAGTTCCATGGTTCGAAGGAGTGATTGATTCCTCTTCCATATGGAGAAAGAAGAGGGACGAAAGCTGTAGAGGAGAGAAGGCGAGCGGGTTGAAAGGGAAGAAGGTGGGAGATGGGAGTGCGGATAAGGGGTGGGTGAAATGCGGATCAGAGGGGCTGCTTGGAGTGCAGGTATGGGCTGGGGTTAATTACATGGGTAGGGAAAATTTGGTATTTCATATAATATTTCTTTCCATTTAGGGAAATGAGAAGATCATTTTGGGATGGCTAAAAAAGGAAAGCAGGAAGATCTTAGCGGGACGGAGGGAGTATATAGTAACTTCATATACCTTAAGATTTTCCTATTTGATAGTTTTCTCGTTTCCATTGTAAGCAGAAGTATTCGTAAATGTTCCACACAACATAAATTAAGTCAAAACTACACATAAAATAAAAATGAAATAAAAAGTATTGGTTTTATTTTAGATATTAATAAACTACATCGTTAACCCTCTCTTCAAATTGCTTATATCGCATGCTCCTCGGAGGGAATTCATTATAGAGTAAAATTCTTACCCTTGATTTTTTTTAACTCCAAGGGGATCAAGGGAGGGTGTTAAGGAGGGAACTGTGGGTAAACAAAGCTGAAACTCCCTCCATGGAGTTTCGAACCCGAGACCACTTAGCTTGTATGGAAGAGTGAGTTGGCGACTAGAGTTGGTAGATAAAAATGGAAGAGTGAGTTGGCGACTAGCTTATGGAGTTTCATCCCTCATAAAAATTTATGTAAAATTTAAACAGATAATTAACAAAAAAAAAATAATCACATAAAATTTATTAGATAAAATTTATCACTTAAAATAGATAAAAATTGATCAGATAAAAATCATCAGATAAGAGAAGTCCACCGTAGTAATCATGTATTAATTTTTTAGAATTTTTAATAATAGAGCAATATACTAGTAATGTATCAGATAAGTTTTAATCAGATAAAAATTAACCAGATAAAATTCATCAGATAAGATTTCATTCAACGCACCAACATAATTTCAAATATGGAAATTAATAGTTAAATTAAATTATTATGTTACATATTAATTTACTATTTCTTATTTATATTTTAATATTACGTTATTCACATTTTAACAAATACTTCCTCCGTTCCTTTTTAATTGCAACAGTCAACGTTTCACGTTTGCCAACGCACAAGTTTGACCATTAATATCTCTCATTCCGTATTAGTAAAAAATATAAAAAATTCATATTTTGAAAATTTAGAATGAGAAGAATTTAACAATATGTTTAAAAAAATTAAATTATAATACATTCATTAATAAAATGTAGTCAAAGTAGAATATGTGAATAGTGCAAAAAGTCTAATGTTGCAATTAAAAGAGAACGAAGGTAGTATGTTATTTATTATTTTAATATTTCATTTAGTAGTACTTTATCTAATTTCCAGTCAGATTACACGAACGAGTTTCAGTTTTAGGACCACAGGTATAAAAATTAGATCTGTTGCACGTTATTTAATATTTCTTTTTTTTATCTAAAAAAGAAAAATCTAGTCGGATTCCCCAAGGTTTTCAGGAGAGACTAAGATTGGGGACGCTCTGGCGATATCGGGGGAGTCCGACACCCTAGCCGGCGTGGTAGCAGGGAACAAAGAACGGGTAAGAAAGCAGGCCATTTGGCTATGGAGCTAAATTAATTGGGTAAACAAAGAACGGTCAGGCTCAAAATGGCTTCTCCTAAAGGACTTTATTCAGGTGGGGTGGATGATTAATGGAAAATTAATTGGGTGACTAATGCCTTCATCCTCTCAACAACTAGATTATCATGCAAGCAATTTAAGCCTAAACACTTCAAAGATGTTCTAAAAGCATAGTCAAAACGCTAGCCAGCTCACAAAGACACAGTTTAAAGAAAAATTTTCAAAAATTTTGCATGAATTTCCTATGAATATACAACTAACATATGCGCATGCTAACTCTAACAAATCACATGTAACAACTACTGCCCGAATGCTCAATTCACTCCTCCACACTTAAACTTTGGCATCGTCCCCGATGACCAAATATGCATTATGTACTAGGGGTGAAGAGGAAAGGGTCACACGTGCTCAAAATCAACTCAAGTTAACATTACGCATCGAGTAAATAGAATCATGGAAACTTCTCTATCGCGTTGGTCAGTCAGGAACAAAACTGGGTCTTGAATCGCACGACACATCATCCACTAAACTGCAACACATCATGAACACAAAGCAAAGCACAATATAAAGAGTTAAGTGAAAAAGTGAGAGTGGGAGTGTGATGGTGTTTATGGTACAGTCATCCAACAATATAATGATACAGATGCTAGCAAAGGACAATCTAATGAAATCTAATACTCGGGAGGGGGTGGCAGTGGATAGGCATCAAAGAACGAACTCCAGCTAGTCTCCATAGAAGTGAGTCGCTCATCAATCTGGGTGTACTGAGACTGGAGCTGTGTGTAATGTAGCGCCTGGTCCTCCCTCACCTCTCTGTAGAAGTCCTGCTGCTCAAAGCGCATCTGATCAAACCTCTCATGCTGCTCAACGGACAACTGCCGATACACAGCATCCTGATGCGCATGCATCCCCGTCCAAGAATCAGGAAAAGCGGTGCCGTAGGGGGGTGCATCGTATGGGATCTCGTGAGCAGCCGCCTTCATATCCACATCATCATCATCATCATCCTCAGCTCGCTGGCCTCCTCCTCCTGCTGCTGCTGTCGGCTGCGTCCTCCTCGCCACGCCAGTGTTGACCTCGGGGAGCCGGGTCAAAGCAACAAAACTGGAGCTCTCCTCCATCCTCAGAAATCGGTCCCCGAACCCCATCCTCGTCAACATCCTCGTAATGAATGGGCCAGCAAAGATGGCCTTGATATGGTTCGTGGCCTGGCGGTGAAGTAGCTTGGCGAGGAGATAGCCCATGTGGGGCTTGCGGTTGTGGATCATACAATACAAGCAGAAGAGGTCAGTCTGCGTGACCTTACCGGCAACCTCGGCCTTGCCGGTGATGGTGGAAGACAGAAGGGTGTGAATAATGCGGTACTGGCGGGGGTAAAGTAGGGTGCTAGGGGACATCTTCGGCCTGTATGTCCCGCCATCTCTCGTGATCGACTCCCAAAATGCCTGGCGGTCGACGCCTGGTGGAAAGTCTGTCAAGACGACCTCGTGCTGGCCGTTGTCCTCGATCCCCGTGAAGCCCAAGTTATACAGCATACCAGCCATGGTCCTCCTCAAAAGCTCTGAATCTGATGACAGGCCGAGTGTTGTCATCAATAGGTATGGTCTTCGGCATTTTGAACGTCGCCAGCACCTCACAGGTAATCTCTCTATAGGTCAAGTCACGGATCCCAAAAAACAGGTGCCTCCACCACCCCCGTCTCAGGAGGTACATCACCTCATCTCTCACTCTAGCTGCCGTGAGTGAGTCCTCATCCGGAAAGTAAAATGTGCCCATGTCCTTCTGCAGCAGCTCCGTATACTTCAGCTCGTCCCACAGTTGCGGGAACCTCGGTTGGTACCGGCCAGTGTTGCCTCGGCTAGAGCCGGCACCTCCACCTCTAGTGTGCTTCTGTCGTGGCGGCATCTGTCAAAACAAATCACAACAAGAATTCCAACGGGGCTTCCAAATGTTAGAACAAATTCACAAAGCACAGAAATGGCCCCGTCAGCAATTAATCAAGCGAGAAAATCATCATAGTAGAACAAACCCAAGTTTAACCAGAATAGTTGAAAGATTTGAATTTTTATCAAAGAAAAGTTCTTTGAATAAAAGTTCAAATTTTCAACGACACACGGTATAAACAAGGTCACAAGAAAGCTTATTCATCACAACTGTGTTTGTAGAATGGAGTTCCTCCCAAAAGAATTAAAGAGATTAAAATAGGGGAAGAACTCACAATTCTCAATTTTGACAAAGTTTGGCCTAAAATTTGGGGATTTATGCTCAAATTGTCTCAACAACAAGTATTCAACATCACAAACAACAATTCATTCCTTAATTCAAGCAACAAGCACAAAATCCCCAAATTTATCTCACATCCAACAACTTTCAACCCTAAATTGGCTAAATTAGCTCAAAAATTAGGGATTTCAATCAAAAGAGGCAAATTCATCGACAAAGAACATCAATATCATCAATACAAGCCTCAATTAACACAAAGAAATCACAATCCCTAAGTTTTGAGCACATGCAATTTCGAATTTCACAAAGCTTCACAAACCTCCATTAATGGTGAAAGAAAGAGAAGGGAAGAAAATACTTGAGTGAGGAGAGAGAAGAGAGGAGAGGAGTGTGCGGCGGTCGGTCGGAGCAGCGGCGGTCACCGGTGGTCTCGGCCGGTGGTGGTGGTGGTGGTCGTTGTTCGGTGTTGTCGAGGAAGAAGCAGGATCGATGGGGGAGTGGTCGTTGGTCGCGCAAGGGAAAAGGGATGGGTTTGGGTTTGTTTTTTTTAACGCGGGGGTAGTCAGGTAATTTCGCTCAGGCACGATCGTGCCCAGCCAAGACACGATCGTGCCTGGCTGGCAGTAGCTCAGGCTCTCTCGCGTCCCAGGCACGATCGTGCCTCCAGCCAGACACGATCGTGTCTGGCTGGCAGTAGCCTCGCGTCAATTTCCTCCTTGCAGGCACGATCGTGCCTGCCCAGGCACGACCGTGCCCGGCCAAAATCCATTTTTTTTTTGTTTTTGTGGTTTTTTTTAAAGCAGTAAAACTAAACTAACAAAGCACAAATTAAGCTCGGGTTGCCTCCCGAGAAGCGCTATTTTTAACGTCGTTTGCCCGACGCACTACGCAGTCATCTTTCCAAATTCGTGACAAAGGTCACCTCACGCTCGCGTTCTAGCGGTCCTCCGTAGTATTTCTTCAGGTGATGGCCGTTAACTTTAAAACGGCCGTTCTCAGGATGATCAATCTCAACAGTTCCATACGGAAAAACTTCGCTCACTACAAAAGGACCGGACCACCTAGACTTCAACTTTCCTTTAAAAATCTTCATTCGGGAATTGAATAGCAGAACTTGATCCCCCTTACAAAACTCTTTTCCCTGTTTAATGTGCCGATCATGATAGGCTTTGGTACGCTCCTTACTAATCTTAGAGTTCTTATAGGCCATAAGCCTCCACTCATCCAACTCATTGAGCTTCCAAAGCCGCTCACGACCCGCCAAAGAAAGATCCTTATTCAACGTTTTCAAGGCCCAATATGCCTTATGCTCTATCTCTACCGGAAGGTGGCACGCCTTCCCATAAACCAAGTGAAACGGAGTAGTGCCAATGGGTGTCTTATACGTTGTACGCAATGCCCACATCGCATCATCTAACTTATCAGACCAATCCTTCCTATGGGTCTCTACAGTCTTTTCAAGGATGGTCTTAATGTCCCTATTCGAATTCTCAACTTGGCCACTAGTTTGAGGGTGATAAGGGACGCCCCCTTTATGAGTGACCTCGTACTTTGCCAGAAGGCCAGTCATTGGATCATTCCTAAAGTGGGTTCCCCTGTCACTTATCAAAACTCGTGGCACTCCAAATCTAGAAAACAACTTTTTCAGAAAACGAATCACAACTCGAGCATCATTTGTGGGCAGAGCTTCAGCCTCAACCCACTTAGAAACATAATCCACAGCAACCAGAATGAATTTACTACCTTTAGAACCCGGGAACGGCCCCATGAAGTCAATGCCCCAAACATCAAATACCTCACAAGCCAATACGGCGCGATTGACTAGGAAGAACGATAGTGACCAGTTTGGTAAGTTTCTGCATCTCATAAAACAAGTGCAGATTAACTTACCATTCGTGGATGCACTAGCTCAGATGCCGAAGTACGCGAAGTTTATGAAGGATTTGCTCACAAACAAGAGGAGGCTGGAAGAAGCGTCTATTGTGACGCTTAATGAGGAGTGCTCAGCTATGATACAGATAGATCTGTCGAAGAAGCTTAAGGATCCAGGTTCTTTTACTATTCCCTACTTTATAGGAGATCTTACTTTTGATAGGGCCCTGGCTGATTTGGGTGCAAGCATTAATTTGATGCCTCTTGCTTTATATGAAAAGCTTGCACTCGGTCCACTTTTTTTTTTTTTGGATAAACTGTAAATATATATATATCCAAAGTGTATATGTACATCTGTACAGCAGCAAAACAGATCATATGGGTCATCCCAAGCAAGGATACCCAGTCACCTCCAAAAACTACCTATAGCTACGCAAACATGCTAGCCATCACAAAACATGGTGACGAATCAGCAAAAAATCAGAATGTTATCCTATCTATTGGATACATGTAATATAAGATTTTATACACCATAAACTTGATATGTTTAACCATATCTAACACTGTCGTCTTGGCCTTCTCAAAACAAATCAGATTTCTCATCCGCCAAGTCCAATATACGGTGTAGCAAAAAGAGAGCCTCACGGCCTTGGCCTTAGCATTTGCTCCATGATGTTCCTTCTTGATCCATTTAACCGCACTTAAAAGTGTAGTCATCTGTCTAGATATCCCAAGCCAGTCACGAACCATCTTCCATACCTGTCCTGTAAATGCACTCGGTCCACTTAAACCTACACGTATGTGCATTCAGTTGGCTGATCGTTCAGTCAAATATCCCCAAGGGATTATTGAAGACGTGTTGGTTAAATTGGACAAATTTATTTTTCCGGTAGACTTTGTTATTTTGGACATGGATCAGGATCAGGAGGTACCATTGATATTGGGCAGACCATTCTTGGCAACTGCCCGATCACTTATTGATGTTGAAGACGGTAAGCTTGTCCTCCGCGTTGGGAATGAGTCTGCCACCTTTGACATGTCCAAAATAATGAAGAGGCCCTGTCAGGATAGTGGTGAGTGTTTTTACATGGATGTGGTGGATTCTTTGGTGGAGGATTGCATTCCTAACATGCTTTCTGATGAAGCCTTCTTTGATCTTCTTTTGGATGATAGTTTGTCAGCAGAGGATCTTGAGCTCCTCCCTAGTCTTGATTGTCTTTTGCTTGATAGGGAGGAGGACTCAAGTGATGCTAGTGATGTGAAGGGGAAGGAAGATGACTTAGATAAGGTGGAGAAGGAAGACTGTCAGATTGATTCTTCTATTGTTACTCCTTCTCCATTAAATCTAAAGCCTCTTCCCTCCCACCTTGAGTATGCGTTTCTAGATGATAGTTCTGACCTCCCTGTTATTCTTGCATCCGGGCTTGAGCCATCCCAAAAATCTGCATGTCTTGATTTACTTTGTGAACAAAGGGAAGCTCTAGCCCAGAAACTTTCTGACATGAAAGGAATCAGTCCTGTTTTCTGCACTCATAAAATTTTGATGGAAGATAATGCTAAACCGGTAGTGCAGCCACAAAGGAGACTGAATCCTAATATGCAGGAGGTAGTCAGGGAGGAAGTCATCCGTCTGTTAGATGTAGGAATTATTTATCCGATTTCAGACAGCCCCTGGGTCAGCCCGACCCAGGTGGTTCCCAAGAAAGGGGGGATGAGTGTGGTTAGGAATGAGAAAGATGAGTTGATTGCTACACGTACGGTCACCGGATGGCGGGTTTGCATTGATTACCGAAGGTTGAATGCCGCCACCCGGAAAGACCACTTCCTCCTCCCCTTTATTAACCAGATTTTAGAGACGCTAGCAGGGCATAAGTTTTACTGTTTCCTTGACGGGATGTCGGGATACTTCCAGATCCCCATAGCCCCCGAGGACCAGGATAAAACCACTTTCACATGTCCATTCGGTACCTTTGCTTATCGGAGGATGGCGTTTGGATTATGTAATGCCCCTGCTACCTTTATGAGATGCATGCTTGCTATTTTTGAGGATTTTATTGGGAAGTTTATGGAGGTTTTTATGGATGACTTTGCTGTGTATGGTGATACTTTTGATGAGTGCTTAGAGAATTTGAAGAAAGTCCTGGTTAGGTGTCGAGAGGTGAATTTGGTACTTAACTGGGAGAAGTGTCACTTCATGGTTAGTGAGGGAGTGGTCCTAGGGCATAAGATTTCGAGTAAGGGGATTGAGGTTGATCCGGCTAAGGTTGATGTGATTTCTAAACTACCTCCCCCTACCTCGGTCCGTGCCATTAGGAGTTTTCTAGGCCACGCGGGTTTTTACCGTAGGTTCATCCAGGACTTTTCTAAGATAGCCCGACCCATGACTAAGCTCCTTGAGAAGGATGCACCGTTTGACTTCTCAAAGGAGTGTTTAGAGGCTTTTGAGTGTTTGAAGGAGAAACTGGTCAAGGAACCGGTGGTAATAGCTCCTGACTGGTCTTTGCCTTTTGAGATTATGTGTGATGCTAGTGATTTTGCAGTAGGAGCCGTTCTTGGGCAGCGTCGAGAGAAACATTTTCAGCCTATTTCTTATGCTTCTAAAACTCTCGATAGTGCCCAAGAAAACTACACTACCACCGAGAAAGAATTGCTTGCTGTTGTGTTTGCTCTCGACAAGTTTCGTCCTTATTTGATTTTGTCTAAGGTAGTGATATTCACTGATCATTCTGCTCTTAAATATTTGATGCAAAAAGTGGATGCTAAGCCTAGATTGATTCGGTGGATATTACTACTCCAGGAGTTTGACATTG